AGCTCCATTTTCACAGCTAATTAACATAGCAGGTTTACAACAGGTTCAGGACAGGTTTAGATCAGGTTCAGGGCAGGATTTTCTCTTGTACACAACTGATGACATGTGCGGTTTAGAAACGGTTCCCATAAAAGTCAATAGCCTGCAATCCGCATCTGAACTGGACCACACTGCTCAGAAATTAGACATTACTTTTTTTCAATCTGCACTGCATCTGCAGTGCCAATGCATATGTGAACAGGCACCATCGGAAACAATGTTATTTCACATGTCATGCAGATTGGATTTGGTTCAAATCTCATCCAATCCATATATGTGAACTGGCACCTAAAGAGACCCTGTCACCATACCAAATCTACTTAGATAAAGAGATTTTATAATACACTCTCAATGGAAAAGCTGTGAGTGTCTTTTTTTAAAAAATGTTTCTAATAAGTGCCCTGCAAACATGTCAGATATTCTGCTGTGCCACGGACACTCTACGGAAGTATTTCAGGCTTGTTGTTGCAGCCTTACAATGCAATTCCTCCTTCCCAGACCTGACATCACCTCTGATCTGGGCAGTGGCCAGAGAAGCCTTACATGATCTGCAAAAACATTCTATGTAGGTCAATTAAGGCTCCCCTAGCTTTTGCCCAAAGAGGAGGTGACAAACTGTTTTATAGAATCATTTGTCAAGTCAAAAATACTCCAACCAGCAGGAGACACCACCCAAATTCCTTGCATATAAGGTAGATGTTATTAAAAGTGATTTGATGGCATTGGGTGCTGGTTCATATTTAATCCCCATGAAGTGCCATAATGGTTCCCCATAGCAAAAAAACACTCCTTTAGCTCAAATATCTAATAACAGTTTTTGGCAGAAAACTCACGTAACATCACAGAGGGTCCATTTGCACAACAATCATTATAAAAAAATACAATACATTGGTGAAATAGAACAAACATATGCTTGTGACTATAAAGAGATCTAACACAAAAATAATATGTCAAAACAAGCTGTAGCCACTTGGGAGCTTATAGCTGAGATTTTGAATTGATGATAATGGTTAAAGAGCAGTTCTCCAATGAGACAAAGGAACACACTCTCCTAAGTCTGTCAGGACTGGAATTATTGCTACAGTGTAATACTAAATTCATTCTGAATGCTGCAATATTGAATAATAATGTGTAGGGCAGGATCTAAGCATCTTCTTTACAACTGTTGGCTGCTTTCTCTAAATGAATTACGGATATAAGTAAAATATAAGTAACATTTGGCAAAAGCACTGCTTGTTTAGACTAGACGCACATCTCTGCAAGTAGGGAACGTGTGCAAAAACATGCATGTTTCCAACCCACAAAGAAACGTACAGCACTTTTACAGACATGCGGAGGTGCCATTAATTCTTAATGGCACCCCTATGCACCGGCAGTTATGGCACTGGCATTGGATGCCCTGGTCATTCCATTTTTGTGTTACTCATATTCCTTCCCTCTGGTGTGGAATTTTCCTCAAATGTTCCGTAAAATAGAGGAAGAGAAGAAAACGGTTACCCTCATTGCAGTGAGCCCATAAGAGCCTGGTATACAGGCGTCTAGGAGATCACACCTTCAAAACAGGCCAGACCTGCTATCTCAAGGCGTCCTGCTTTTCAGTCACTGGTTTTAATGGCATGGCTGTTGTAAGGTCTTGAAGATGGGGTATATCTGATTCTGTCACTCCCACACTACTCAAGGCCAGTAAAGCCACTTTGAGAAAAATCTACTTTACCCCAAAATCCTTTTCTGTCTTGTGTGAACACCAATGTTTCAACCACAAAGAATATTCGATACTTTGCATTCTGCATTTTAATGCAGTTATAACTTGACCAAAACTTGGCTCTAAGTACTCTTAAAGAACAAGTTTCACCTTGTAGATTCCATTCTAAAAACCTTTGGTCTCACTTCCATTAGTTAAAACTGTTCTTCAAGGTGTCTCATGGATCAGACCACCTTCATCACAGCACCCCATGTTTCCCTGGAATCACAGTTTGGTTCTCTCTGCCTTGCAGAAACCACCATTTGAAACCTCCTTTTTGGTGATTTCTCTTGCAAAGTAGCCTTCTTGTTGGATATTATGTTTGTCAGATATGTTTCAAAGTTAACAGTTCTCTCTTCTAAGAAGCTCTTCTTAATTCTTCACAAGAGTAGAACGGTATTATGTCCATCACCCTTGGAGTACTTTGCCTTTCCTTTTTTGTGCTGTGCTGCTAAGCATCTCAGGGAAATTGCTCTCCATTGTTTGAATATAGAGCTCTCAGAGTTTATCTCTAAAAGCTACAGACTCTATCCAGAAAAGGACTCTTTTTTTTCTTGCTAAAAGGGTATTGAAAGGGACACCCTGCTTCTAAATCCACTCTTGGTAGATGGATAATTCAATTCATTGTAAGTTTAAAGTAGAATTATAGGAAAAAATTTTTTTACATTTTGGTTGGAGTAAGGGAGTGTTATAACTCCTGTAATTTTTCTCTGTCCTTTTGGTAAGATTTGCCTTCATTTCCTGTCCCCTCGCCAAAACAGGAAGTGAAAGGAAATCCTTGCAAATTAAGGGAAACCTTGCTTTCCCCCAGGTCACCAGAACTAGAGCCCATTGGAAGATTTCCCCTCCTATTACTTTGGGGTCAACCCAAAATTTGGGATTTTTTAAATTTCACTTTCAATTATAATAGTAAACAGGACAATTAGAGAGGATGAATCTCCCTAATGGGGGCAGAAACAGCAATAAAAAGCTGACAGGGGCATTCCTAAATCAACTGAGTTGGATTCATGACCCTTGATTATTTTGATGGGAGACATGGTTCTTTTGTTGTTGCCTACCCCTCTGATTCATTGCTTGGGAATGTCCTACAGTCAGTGACTATCCAGCCTATGTCATGTGCTGTATGATTAGGATAAAATGATTTTTGACTTGCCTGTAAATTCCATTTCTTAGAGTACAGTACAATACACAGGATATACTCCCCCCGTTACTGTGGTACTCTTCATTGCTCACTAAAAATCTGAGGTCTCACAGAGTGGGGTGGCGTTTTAAGGGTATGCCCAAAGGGGTTTTTTTCTAAAAGCTTTGCCAGTGTCCAGGCTCTTGAAGGTAGCTCCCAATAACCCAGGGTCTGTTATGGAATTTACAGGCAGGTCACGATTCTGTTTTGTTCTTGCAGATGACTGGATGATGGAAGTTAGCACAGCTTCCCCACATTCACTAAGCCCTTGGAAAGTGCAAATTCTCTTGCAAAGTAAACAGCCTATTTGCCTTAAGGCTAGGTTCACATGTGGCTATTTGTGATCCCAAATCACTCTCCAATAATGACAAAATGCACCACACCCATTCAGGTGACATTCATTTTCAATGGCACCTAAACATGGTGCATTTTTCCTGTGAATGACATGCAACAAATCGCTTGGCAATCGTGGCAAACCTCAACGTGTAAAGCTTGTCCCCCGAAAAGGAACAGGAGCTTCTTTTGGGCAAGAAGCTTTGTGCATTGCAGTTTGCCGTGATTGTTGCATAACAATCGCAACAAAACTGCACTGTGTTTAGCTACCATTGAAAATTAATGGCACGCGAATAAGTGTGGTGTGTTTTGTAATTTTTGCAGGGTGGGTGATTTGGGATCGTGGGCAGATCACAAAATGCCAGATTTGAACCTAGCCTTAGTAAATCAACCCCATAGAGATATGAAAGAGCACATACCAGTCCCTGTGATAGTATTCAGCAACTGGGAATAATTAGAAAAGGCTCCCAGTTCCATAGTATTTTCTAGTTCAACATTCCTGCATGTCTCCTCCTGTACCATCATCCCATCCCTCCTAGATTGTAAACTTGAAAGAGCAGGGCCCTCGATCCCCTCATGTTTTGCATTGTATTGGTATTGTTCTGTCACATGTTCTGTCCCCCTTTGTAATGTACAGCGCTGAGCGAACTATTGGCGCTTTATAAATACTGTATAATAATAATAATGTTTTCCTGTCATAATATCTCAACGGTCTTAAAGTGTTACTAAACCCAGGACCCTGCATTCACTATATCCTGTCTCCCACAGTACACAGAACATGGAAATGCAATTATTTTAGTAAATATAAACTGCTAAATACCTTTTCTCATTAACAGTTAGAGCAGTCTTCTATCAGTGCCCAGCTGAGCACATGTTAAAGCTTGTAGGAGGAGTTTTCTTTCTGCTCTAGGAGCAGGCAGAACCCCTGACCTCTGTCTGGACAGTGCTGATTGGCCATGTGCCTATCACATGCACTCTCTGAAGAAAAAAAAACTCTAGCAATACACACCAAATTGAGCATGTGGAGAGTGTCTCCACATGATATGTCTTATCAGGAGATAAGAGGGGGACACTGGAAAAAGGGGAGGATCAGAGAAGTCAGGATCAAACAGTGTTTTTACACAATGCAGAGGATTAACCCCTTAGGTTCCACAGTGAGTATAACAAGCATGCTTTCCTGCATATACAGACTGATTTTACTGTTGTGGGTTTAGCAGCACTTTAATGTCTGCATTTCTAAACACTCTACTGTGGTAAAAGTGTTCTTCAAACCTGATGTTTGACTGAAACCCTATTGTAACGAACACATTCAGCTTCATTAAAACTTGGTTCCTAATGACCAATGTTTTGCTTCTCCACATAAACAAGAATCCCACTCACAAAGTATTGAGCTGTGGATAATGACTGGTGTGTTGTTTGTCTCAGGGATGTGTTGCATTGAGGTGTGGATGATGCTGTAATTACCAACCATTCAGCAGTGTAAATTGCTTGTCAGAGCCAGGAGTTCTGCTTATTGTCAGTCACTGTTTACTGCAGAGCATTTCTGTCTTCAAAGTAGTAAGAAACACCTAAGGACAATTTTATAGAAAAGCTGTGGAGGAGGGGGGGGGACACAAAAAAAAGGAGTTAAAGTGTTACTAAACCCAGGACCCTACATCCGCTATATCTGGTCTCCCACAGTACACAGAACATGGAAATGCAATTATTTTAGTAAATATAAACTGCAAAATACCTTTTCTCATCAGCAGTTAGAGCAGTCTTGTGACTTCTATCAGTGTCCAGCAAAGCACTGGTTAAAGCTTGAAGGAGGAGTTTTCTTTCAGCTCTAAGAGATGCAGAAACCCTGACCCTCTGTCTGGACAGTGCTGATTGGCCCTGTGCTGATCACATGAACACCCCCAAAAAAAAAAACCTCTCTAGCAATACACAATAAATTGAGCATGTGCAGAGTGTCTCCACACAATATATCTTATCAGGAGATAAGAGGGGGACACTGGAAGAAGGGGAGGGTCAGAGAAAACAGGATCAATCAGCGTTTTTACACAATGCAGAGGATTAACCCCTTAGGTTCCACAGTGAGTATAACAAGCATGCTTTACTGCATATACAGACTGATTGTACTTATTATGGGTTTAATAACACTTTAACAAACATGTCCAGGCACCTAAACACTGCTGTTTAGCAGCCTGGAAACCCAAGACCATGGGGTGCTGTGTACTGCTTCCCACTCTGCAGTGTTGCCTTGCCCCTGCCTGCTTGATGTGATGTACCACTGGTTTATTACTGTGGTTAGGGTCCATACTAATCAGTAGGGTTCATTGCAGTCAACTCCCAGCTGATCTCAGGTATGGGTGCACACATTGTGATAATCAGGGCGTCAGACCCCAGCATTTCTCACCAAACTCGTGACGGACTAGTCAATCTAAAACCACACTGTCACGTGCGTAACAATGCCATGCCCAGCTGCACCCTGCACAAAGATTTTCCAGCTAATGGACCACAATCTGTGTACTTGCAGCCTGGGAGCGATTGTTACTTGGTCAGGTTAATTACACAATTAACCCTTCACACTGCCACCACCTCCTTTTGTACAGAGAAAGAGGAAACCCGGCAATATCAGCAATAAGTTGTGCGATGTTTGCATAAGCATCGGTATACCACTGTCACCACAGGCAGAGATATACCGAAGTTTAAAACACACACACAGTAGCGCTCTTCAGAGGCAGGGGTTCTTAGTTTGCATTAAAGAGCTTCAGAAACAGTTCAACACTTTCAGTAAGATTTATTGCTAAAAGGTCAAAAGGGTGCAATAAAAATATTTACAGAAAAAGATGTAGCCTATATATATATATATATATATATATATATATATATATATATATATATATATATATATATATATATATATATATATATACATAGAGCAATAACACAGCAAAGAGATAACAGAAAGAAATTTAGGGAGGTAAAGTACTTGCCAAACGTCTTTGTTTAAGCAGATCAAGTTTCCTGAGCCAAAAGGGTGCTTTATCTCCCAATGTTAGTTCCGATGTTAAAAGGGAGAATCTTCAACTTAGCTCAGCTCAGCTTTTTCTAGGAACTCAGCAGGTTGTCTCCTTAAAGCAGAGAACCAATCGCCTCATTTGGGGAGGGGTCTTGGGACGGAGACCCAAGCTAGAACCAAAAACTCTCCCAGTTGATGTCATGGTTCATAACTTATTCTCAGTGCATTTAGCAGCCTTGCCACTAGTAGATTAATACGCAGAATCACCTGCTGAACGTCTAGGTATGAAATATGACATACCTGCTGGGATGGTTAAGGAGATATCATTTTCTGCTCTCCTGTTGATGCCAGCTAGGGGATGTAATAAATCAGACGACTTGTTATTAACGAGACCGATCTGCATATATGCCCTGTTTTTATGTACGTCTTTCATAGTCCAAGATATGTAATCATAGGGGAAAAGGGGATGTTTAAATGTGAGTCCGTTTTACGACTACCTGGAATGTCTTTGAGTTCAGTGAAGGACTTGGTTTATGGTTTTACAATCCTTCTCCAAGCAGAGTCTCGCAGACATCTGGGGGCCAGGCTAATTAGGGTTTATAAACATGAACTCTCCCGCTGGCCTTGATGCCTTTGATCTCTGCATCAAACAGACCACATGTCACTCCTCAGAGAGGGAGGGGGGATATTGGAGGAATCTGATTTGGGAGTAGAAAATGATAGAAGATGGAGGCCTTTGCCAAAATGGAGGTTAGCATCCATCTCTGTGTGCACGTTTGCTACACACATGACAATGTAGGAAAAAGTTTCTAGTTTGTGTATAGTCAGATCTACAACCTATTCTCTCTATGTTCAGACAGATCTGAAAACAGTGGCCATCTGCTTAATGTTCATGCAGCAAGTATAGCTTCCCTACAGTATGTTGTTTGTGGTAAGTGAGCTAAAAATATACTCAGCCATGCAATGCCAATATATCAGTTTTATGTTCCTAATTTTTTAAGACATAATGTCGCACCATGTCACCTTTGTCAGCCCACTTTGAATGTTTCCATGTGCTGCCAAGGTGTGCATTTTTAAAATTTTGGAAAGTTGGTTGATATTAGATTTAGTAAAACAACTATGGACTAAGGGCTCACTTACACAAGATGCAGTCAGGTCTGTTTTTAAAGCAGCAAACATGCAGTACCAATACATTTCAAGAAAAATGAATGTATTCCAATGAACCTAGTTTACAGCACCGCAGTATTCCAATGAACCTAGTTTACAGCACCGCAGTATTCCAATGAACCTAGTTTACAGCACCGCGTTTAAAAAAGTACAGCGTGCTTTATTTTTCCAAATAAACGCATGTAAATAAACACATGTAAATGTACCACAAATGTGTATGAATGGGTGCAAGCACGTGTAAATGCAACTTAGTAAAGAAAGTAAACTGAAATAAATTTTAAAAAAATTCCAAAAAACACACTGATAACACGCACAAACATGCATGCAGAAATGTATTGTGAATGCAGAGATAGTGGTTGTAAATGAGCCCTCAAGTGGAAATGTGACCTGAGAAGGATTGTCATACATATAAAAAAAGAAGACCAAAGAAGTTAGTTCTAAATTCAATTAAAGAAGTTCTAAAGTCAAGATATTTTTTACCTTAATGTGTTTTCTGCATAAAGGTAAAAAATGTCCCATTACCTTTTCCTTCTCTAAAATCCAGAGCTGTGCACATCTGCAGCTATGCTTCTCTCTCCTCCTCTTCTCACGGGACAGATTGAGAGCAGCGGGAGTCTTTGGCTGTCAGTCAGATCCTGTGAGGAGAGAGCAGGGGCGGCACAGAGCTGTACTGTGTGTGTCTATGGACCACACATCCTGGCTCGGGAGTGTGCCCACACCTTGTGCCTTCCTGGCAAGCGACCTCCTATGGTTCCACACATAGGAGAGGAGGAGTGGACAATGCTGGCAGGAGACTCCAGAAGAGGTATTAAGGGACTGCTCTGTGCAATACCATTACACAGAGCAGGTAAGTATAAACCTCTTTTTATAATATACACTATATTTGCCAAAGGTATTGGGCCAGCCCTCTAAATTATTGGATTCAGGTATTCAATCACCTCCATGTCCACAGGTGTATACAATCAAGCACCTAGGCATGCAGACTGCTTCTACAAACATTTGTGAAAGAATGGGTCGCTCTCAGGAGCTCAGTGAATTCAAGTGTGGTACCGTGATAGGTTGCCACCTGTGCAATAAGTCCATCCGTGACATTTCCTTGCTACTAAATATTCCATGGTCAGCTGTTAAAGATATTATAACAAAGTGGAAACAACTGAGAACAACAGCAACTCAGCCACCAAGTGGTAGGCCAGGTAAAGTGACTGAGCGGGGTCAGCGCATGCGCACAGTATGCAGAAGTCATCAACTGTCTGCAGAGTCAATAGATAAAGACCTCCAAACTTCATGTGGCCTTCAGATTAGCACAACAACAGTGCATAGAGAGCTTCATGGAATGGGTTTCCATGGCCGAGCAGCTGCATCCAAGCCTTACATCACCAAGTACAATGCAAAGCGTCAGATACAGTGGTGTAAAGCATGCCGCCACTGGACTCTAGAGCAGCGAAGACGTGTTCTCTGGAGTGACGAATCACGCTACTCTGTCTGGCAATCCGATGGACGTGTCCGGGTTTGGTGGTTGCCAGGAGAAAAGTACTTGCCTGACTGCATTGTGCCAAGTGTAATGTTTGGTGGAGGGGGGATTATGGTGTGGGGTTGTTTTTCAGGGGTTGGGCTTGGTCCCTTAGTTCCAGTGAAGGGAACTCCTAAGACGTCATCATACCAAAACATTTTGGGCAATTTCAGGCTCCCAACTTTGTGGGAAGAGTTTGGGGATGACCCCTTCCTGTTCCAACATGACTGCACACCAGTGCACAAAGCAAGGTCCATAAAGACATGGAGGAGCTGGTTTGGGGTGGAGGAACGTGACTGCCCTGCACAGAGTCCTGACCTCAACCCCATAGAACACCTTTGGGATGAATTAGACCAGAGACTGCGAGCCAGGCCTTCTTGTCCGAACATCAGTGCCTGACCTCACAAATGCACTTCTGGAAGAATGGTCAAACCTTCCCATAGACACCCTCCTAAACCTTGTGGACAGCCTTCCCAGAAGAGTTGGGCCAACTCAATATTGAACCCTACGGACTAAGACTGAAATGCATTTAAAGTTCATGTGTGTGTAAAGGCAGGCCGACCAATACTTTTGGCAATATAGTGTATATATAAGAAAAAAAAAATGACTGAACAACCACTTTATGAGTATAAGGGTCTTGAAAAGAAATCCTGACAATGAAAGTATATTAATGCAATATTACAAGTACTGATAATGGCAGCACAATCATCTTATGTGATAAGCAAGGTCAATTTTAAAAAGATTATGTAGGCTTGACAGTCCACCACCTGTTAGCAAATATGTTTAAAACAAATTTAGTTATGTTCTGCCAGGTTTGTTTATAAAGATTTGCGACACTTGTATTTTAGATTTTCACGCTTGTGTACTCATGCATGTCACAATTTTGCAACTGAAAGAAGTATTGCTTCTGTGGTTGTCACGGATACAGTACAGAACGAATTAATCCACAATACATAGCTTATCTATTTATTAAAGTGTCATGAAGAAAACCCCATAGTGACATATCTTCTGTCTATAGTATATATTGTTAACGTTTTGTTTATTTATAAAAAAAGACCACACACAAGAGTATGATATTGTTAACAGAGGGCTGATGTTAGAAATCATCTGTCATATTTAAAGATACACGCCATACATAATAAGAGATTAAAAGAGATTGGCAGTACTCGGGTCGTTGGTTCGAATCCCAGCCACGGCACCACCTGCCTGGAGTTTGCATGTTCTCCCTGTGCGTGGGTTTCCTCCGGGTACTCCGGTTTCCTCCCACACTCCAAAGACATGCTGGTAGGTTAATTGGATCCTGTCTAAATTGTCCCTAGTATGTGTATGTATGAATGTGAGTTAGGGACCTTAGATTGTACGCCCCTTGAGGGTTAGGGACTATTGTGAATGTACAATATATATATGTAAAAAAGCGCTGCGTAAATCAGCGCTATATAAGTACCTGAAATAATAATAATAATAAAGTGTGACTAAAGGCACAACTTTTTATCATTTTGGATTAGAGTAAGAGAGGGTTATAACCCCTGTCAATTTTTTTACCATCTGTGTCCCATAGGGGAGATTTCTCTTCACTTCCTGTCCCTTAGCCAAAACAGGAAGCAAGAAAAAATCCTGCTGTGTCACCAGAACTAGTGTCCTTATAGGTAAAAATTCCTCTATTACTTCTGTGGTGTCAACCCAAAATGTGGGATTTTCTTTTACTTTCACTTTCGCTGATAACGGTAAATAGGACAAATAGGGAGGGCCAATCTCCTTAATGGGGGCACAGACCGCAATAAAAACTGACAGGTGTTCTAAACCCTCTCCACTCTGTCTGGGCAGTGCTTATTGGCCCTGCGCTGATCACATGCACTCTCCCAAGGAAAAAAAAACTAGCAATACGCACCAGACTGAGCACGTGCTGAGTGACTCCACATGATATGCCTTATTAGGAGATAAGAGGAGGGCATTGGAAGAAGGGGAGGATCGGAGAAGTCAGGATCAAACAGCCTTTTTACACAATGCAGAGGATTAACCCCTTAGGTTCCACAGTGAGTATAACAAGCATGCTTTACTGCATATACAGACTGATTGTACTGTTGTGGGTTTAGTAACACTTTAAGATAAAAACATTCTGCCTTTAGAACCACTTTAAACCCCATCAATATACTGAATCATTAGGATTGCGTATAGTCTGTGAAATGGTCAAGACCAACAGTAGTCAGGCAGACTTGTAACAGCCATGTAGGATTGCAAAGCACAAGCAAGATCCAAAAAAGATCCCTTGCTCAGGCATTGTCCCAGTGCAATGAACTGACTTTGTTTGGTGACCTCGCAAGCAAACTATTTAATACTGCGGATGGTACATACAACACATAGGAAGCTGATATGGAAACTGGATTGGAGAACAGAAAACCTAATGGTCTTCTACAGGAGGTAAGAGGAAGCTGTAAGATCGTCACAAAAAATGCACTTTTCAGTAAAAGTCCACTTAGAACCAGCACTGTGCCTTTTGCATGGCTATCAAATGAAAAGTGATTTCATTTTGACTTTAACCACTTCCCGTCCGGCCTATGGCCGAATGGCAGCCGGCAAAAACCTTCACCTTTCCGGTTGGACGCCATATGGCGTCCTTTTGGGCATGCGCAGTTTGCGTGTCTGCAGAGCCGTGCAGCTGCGTGATCTGTCACCGGCCGTGTACCTCGGACACGGCCGATGACAGATCTGAGTACCGGCCCCGTTGCCGGTACCATGTGACCTGCTGTGACCAATCATGACAGTTGTATACAATGGATGGCTTCATTCATGCCATCCATTGTATACTAGTGTATCTAGCTGTGAATGGTCACAGCGATCACATGAACAAGCTGGGCCAATCACAGCCCAGCTGTGTCATGTGATTAACCATGGCCAAATCACAGCTAAGCACAAAAAAGAAAAAAATGTCATTCAGGTAAATACTTGCTTATAGCAAAGTAATTCTTTGCTATAAGCAAACTGTGTAAAAAAAAAAATACTGATCACTTCCCCAAAGTAGTACAATGTAACTATGGTAACATTGTATTACTTCGGTTTTTAAAAAAAATAAAAAAAAAAGTAATAAAAAGTTAAAAATAAAAAAATTTAAAAAAAAAAATCATAAATTTTTTTTTTCACACTGTCACCAGTCAGTGTCCCTGTTCACTGCCATGCCAGTTATATGATGACGCTGTACTGCACTGGTGACAATATGTAAAAAAAAATAGTGAAATTATTTTTTTAATTTTTAAATTATCTGAATAATTATGACAAAAAAATACAACTTCAAAAAACTCGTCATGCCTCTTATGTAGTGCGTCGGAATGTCTACTTTGCAAGAAGGGGTCATTTGGGGGATATCTGTACTGTTCTGACATTCTTGGACCTCAAGAAATGAGATTGTCCGTCAGTACTTCAGGATCAATATTCAGATATATACCATAGTTTGTGAACTCTATAACTTTCCTACAAACTAAAAAATACATCCTAATTTGGGTTATTTTCACCAAAGACATGTAGTAGAATACATCTTGGCCTAAATTTACGAAGAACAATTATTTGCAAACTTTTATAACAGAAACAAAGAAAAACAAGTTTTTTTTTCAAAATATTCGGTCTTTTTTTGTTAATTTAGCAAAAAACAAAAACCCCGGCGGTGATTAAATACCACCAAAAGAAAGCTCTAGTTGTGTGAAGAAAATGATAAAATTTTAGTTTGTGTACAATGTTGTATGACAGCGCAATTGTCATTCAAAGTGTGAGACCGCTGAAACCTGAAAATTGGCCTGGGCAGGAAGGGGGTAAATTGCCCGGTATGGAAACGGTTAATGATGGAAGGTGGCTTGTCTTATAAGTCTACGCAGTGAATGTATTCCTGACTGGGGAACACATTCCTGAGTCAGAAATGGTAAGTGGTAGTGCTATGAGACAGTTCTGACAATAGGGTGTTTTCTGTGAGACCTGCAGAAGTATGTTGCATATCTCAGCTTTGTGCCTTGCTGTTTGTTCTAGCGAATTGTAGCTACAGCAAATGTACCGTTATATGCATGATAAAGAAAACCTTGTAATGAACACCACTGCATGCTCTTTAATTAGTAGATGAAAGGCAGAAAGCCTCTTCATCCACAGGACATTGTTTTATTTTTAGCCGAATGAAGCAGGTTTCTAAAGAGCAGCAATGAATCTTTGGCTGTTTACCACCAGTATGATTACTGCGGATATATTGAAAAAAAAAAAAGTGTGTGTATGTATGTATATATATATATATATATATATATATATATATATATATATATATATATATATAAATAAGGAAATCTGAAATGCTCAAGAAGAATGAGGGCTTGAATTTCACTTAGTGGTGTCTGCTAATACCAGATATCTTCTAGCCTAGTAAAGTAATTAATTGCAAAGGTGACTTCAAAGTCATTAAAACAGATTCATGAGGAAATAAATAAATAAATGATTGGAAATCAAGGCTGTAGATATTTATTAGCAGAAAAAGAAATAGCCTTTGGTGAAAGTAAAACTCAAGGGAGTTAAGATGTGGATGCAGGTTATTAGCCCAATGATTTAATCAGACTGTGTTGACTTGACCCATCCAAAAGATTTTCACAAAGCCTGGCAGGAAAGGTGATGTTTTTGAGATTGTTTTGGGATGTGGCTAGATAGCTCTCCAAGTGACTGCTGTTAAATCAGCACTTCCCTTTTGCAATTATCTCAAGGTAACTGAAATAATGTTAATGATATTGAGACTGGATAAGATATGCGAGGAAACCTGGGATTCCCTACCAGCATGTGACCTGCTCTAACAAAAAGTCCTAAAATAAATATAGGGAGGTTTTCCTCCCTAGATCAAATAAATCTACCTCGTTTTTTCCTATAATTATAAATTTGATATTATATAACTATAAATTATAATTTGCTATTCAGTTAAAACTGATAATATTAATAGTAATATTATGAATAATAATAGCTAAAATAATATGCACAATGCTCAAAGAAGCAAAGGTCTTAATCATTCTTAGAGAAGCAAAACACTAACGAATATTACAGACTAAACAAGAATAAAAGAACGGAGATGATACGTTGTGTTAGTCTGTCCTTAAAATTTTGTATCTAAGCTGGGCTAAAAAATAAAACAAAAAAGAGAAAAATGTTTTATAACACACACAAAAAAACCACCTGCCTTAACACCCCCACTCGCCCCTGGTATAGTCCTCTGTCCAAACAGCAAAAATAAATATCAGGGATTATGCTGCTATCCTCCATTTCCTCCTGCAGGCGGTGTTGTCACATTGTGGGCAAATTCCTTGACCCTAGTCAGAATTTCGGCTTCAGCTTTCTCTTTGATCTTCCAGTTAAAAGAGAGGCTATCAGGCAGTCTCATCTCTTCCAGACCAGGAGGTCTGAGGTGATGTTATTCTACCCTCCACCAGGGGCGGACTGACCTTTTGGAAACTCGGTCACTGCCCGAGGGCCCAGGGTCAGTAGGGGGCCCCATGAGATGCCCCTGGTACCTTTTTCATAGGCTTTTTTGAGTTTGGGCAAGGACACAGAGGCCCCATGATCCCTATTGCCCGGGGGCCCCATGAGTTGTCAGTCTGCCCCTGCCCTCCACACAACAAAGTAGGAGGCTCATACAATATCCGAACAATGTTCAGAGAGAAAAGTCCTCATTTGCAACCCCCTGTTATGAACCCCCTTCTCTGTAAACTGGTTCACTAGTTTTTAACCAGTTCAATACAGGGCAGCTTTACCCCCTTCCTGCCCAGGCCAATTTTCAGGTTTCAGCGCTTTCACACTTTGAATGACAATTGTGCGGTCATTCAACTTTGTACCCAAACTAAAATGTTATCATTTTGTTCACACAACTAGAGCTTTCTTTTGGTGGTATTTAATCACCGCTGAGGTTTTCATTTTTTGCTAAATTAACAAAAAAAGACCAAACATTTTGAAAAAAAAAACCAAGTTTTTCTTTGTTTCTGTTATAAAAGTTTACAAATAAATAATTGTTCTTCATAAATTTAGGCCGAGATGTATTCTGCTCCATGTCTTTGGTGAAAATAACCCAAATCAGTATTTATTATTTAGTCTGTAGGAAAGTTATAGATTTCACAAACTATGAGATATATCTGAAAACTGATCAATCCTGAAGTACTGACGGCCAATCTAATTTCTTGAGGCCCAAAAATGTCAGAATAGTACAGATATCCCCCAAATGACCTCTTTTTGCAAAGTAGACAGTCCAACGTATTTCATAAGAGGCATGGCGAGTTTTTTGAAGTTGTAATTTTTTTGTCATAATTTTTCGGAAAATTAAGAAATTAAAAAAAATCATTTTCACTATTTTTTTTTTTACATACTGTCGCCAGTGCAGTATAGCATCAGCATATAACTGGTGTGGCGGTGATCAGGGACACTGACTGGTGACTGTACGAGAAAATAAAAAGATAATTTTTTTTTTATTTTTTTAAATTTTTTATTAAATGATTTTCTCTTTTTTTTAAGATTTTTTTTTTCATATTACACTATGACAAAAGTAGCATAATGTTACAATAGTAACATTGTACTACTTTGGGGAAGTGATCAGTATTTTTTTTTTTTTATACACAATTTGATTGCTTATAACAAAGGATTTCTTTGCTATAATGCTATAAGCAAGCATGTAACTGAATTAAATCGATTCATTCAGGTTTTTTTTTTTGGGCTTAGCTGTGATTAGCCACGGCTAATCACATGCCACAGATGGGCTGTGATTGGCCCAGCCTGTGCATGTGATTGCTGTGACCATTCACAGCTAGACACACTTGTATACAATGGACGGCATGAAAGGAAGCCATCCATTGTATACAACTGTCATGTGACCTGCTGTGATTGGTCACAGCAGGTCACATGGTACTGGAAATGAGACTGGTACACAGATCTGTCATCAGCCGTGTCTGAGGTACACGACTGGTATCAGATCTCGCCACAGCAAGGCCCTGTGGG